CTCACACTTGGCTGTGTGCGGGGCACAGCAGTGTCCAAAAGGCAGTATTGTTGTGGTCTGTTCTTTGGAACAGCAGGATCTTCTGGGGAAGGGCACTCAGGGACTCCCTGCAGGGATGGGAACATCCACAGCACACCCATTTGGAAAGGGACAAAGTCAGTAACCGCACAAAACCACAAGGACCCAGGCACTGTGCTGGATCTCATTTAACTGAGCCAGGGATGCTCAATGCCCACAATCCATCCTCACCATCCTCCTGGGAATGGCTGTCTCCTGTGCTGGCCGTGCAGGAGGGATCTGGGTGATCTTCAGTTACCTGGCTCTTGCAATCAGCAGGGCAGGACCTCTGCGTGTCGGCTGGTGTCTCTGTTGCAGGGAGCAGGTGGGAGAGCTGCTCTATGATGCCCAGGCTTCGGATAAGGTTCTCACGCTGCAGCAGAGCATTTACTCTTTTCTTCTCCTCATTTTCCACAATATCCTGGGGTTGCATGGAGTTGACCTGCATGTACTGTGCCTTGGGAAAGGAAGAGCTGAGTTACAGTGAAGGTGAAGCAATGCACAGGAGAGAGAAAGGCATGGGATGCTCTGAGCCCTGAGGAAAGGTACAGACTTGGGGCAAGGTGGGATGAAAATCCCTGTGGGAGCCACTAGAGGGGCTACCTCCCGGCACTAGCTGTCAACTCGCTGCACTGCATGAAGAGGACTTTGTGCTTCTGCTCCGTGGGAGACGCTCATGGCATCGCACTGTTCCCAGTTACTGCCTTTGGGAGCCCCATGGACCATCACAGACAAGAGGAAGGTACCTTCCTATCCCATATCCTGCTGCTTCTGGAGGTGAGGCGGGCTGAAGGAGCTGTGCTGGTACTGTGGGTCCGGGGTTTGTCCCCTGCTGACTCTCCATGCAGCTCTTCCTTCCTCTCTGTTTTCTTCTTCATGGTAGCAGTTTCAAACTTTTCCTTTTTCAGGCGAATTTCCTCCAGTTGCTGCCTGCCAGAGGAGAGTCAGTGATCTTAGTGGTTCAGTAAGAGCCATAACAGCAAGAGGCTCTTATGGAGCCTTAAATCCGGGGACGTTTTCCTGCAGTCAGGAGTTCTGTAGTGAATAGGTGCCAAGAAATGGGCCAGGAGATGCTCACTGCTGTAAGAAATGCCCTTGAATTGGGCTGTGCCCACCAGAAGGGTGAAAGACCCTCGTGACACAGTGCCTCCAGAGTCCAAGTCAATGGAATATTGCATTTGCCTCTCAAGGGAAGTCACTGCTGTGCTGACACAGCTCGTGCAGTGTCTGTCCCTTCCAGCTCTCACCAGCTCGCTCACATCTGTGAAGCAGCAGAGCTGCTCCCAAGCCGGGAAGGGGAGCAGGCAGGCTCCGTGCCACCCATGCGGGCGTACCTGGCACATTCCTCCCGTGCTTTGGACGAGGCTGTTTCCTGGAAGAGGGAGCCGCTGTGCTTGAAGAAGAGCTCGTAGCGCTCGGTGCCGCTGGCCGGGTAGATGCGCCGGTACCCGCCAAGGTGCGTGTCCTCGTACTGCTGCGCCTGGCACAGCCAGGCCTCCTGGCTGCTCTGCAGCTCCTCGCGCCTGCCAGGGGACACAGCACTGCCCGGGCACTTGCTGCCTGCAGGCCCGGGCCTGGGCAAGCATCTTCCCCTGCTTGGGAGCCTGTTTCATGAGCAGGGAACCAGCAGAACCCGCTCTTTGCTGTCGTCTACCCAGCGAGTGCTGGTGGAGCGCTTCCAGCTCTCTCCCCTGCTGCCCAGGCTCCCCACTGCCCCTCAGCCTCTTCACCCACTGACCCAGTGACCACAGCTCTGTTAAAGCTGACCCCGCCACCCTGCACACTGCTGGGGCTTTCCTCGCCCGCGGGGAGCTTGGGGCAGCCAAGGCTGCAGGGGCAGCAGGGCACAGGGCTAAGACATGCTCAGAGTCTCCAGCTCACAGCTACCTCAGGTCTCCCCATTGAAACAGGGGCTGGAGGGAGTTCCTGCCTCCCCCTGCGCGGCAGGAAAAGCCCAGGCAGCGGGTTCATCTACCACAGCCTTGTGAAAGGGCATGCAGAGAGAGAAAAGGGGGGAAACCCTCAGCCCTGGGAAAGGAGCCCTGCCTGGGGAAGGGCCCTGTGTGCTCTTGGTCCCTCAGGCAGTGATGTGATCCATGCTGGGAACATCACAGGGGATGCTGGCACTGCCCATTGGCACTGAAGGATGGGCCAAGCAGCGGGGATGACCCTGCACAGTGCCCAGAGCAGTGCCCGGAGCACCTGGTGTCTTTGATCTAGCACCCAGAGAGGAGCCCTGGCTCTTCCTTGTCTGGTGCAGAGGGCTTGGGAGATCTCAGAGTCTATACAGTGCCACGGGCTCTGGGAGCTTTAACTTGGAGGCAGCTAGCCTTGGTTTCATCCTGCTCTGCCATGGCCCACCTTTTCTCACCAGGGCCTGCAGCACTAGGGGGAAGAGCAATACCTGGATGCACGGGAAGGCTGATGAGACTGGAGGAGCCGTTCCTTTACCCGCTGCTTGTCTTCCTCCAGCACCTTCCTTTTGTTACAGGCATTCACGTTTATCAGGTTGATGGTATCACAGAGAAGAGCATCCTTCACCTCCTGGTCTAGGCGAGAGTCTGTGCTGAAGCTGGGAGAGTGGTTCACCTGCCAAAGCAAGCAGCTCATCTAACCTGGCAGCTCCCAGCTCCAGCTAGCCCCTCTACATGTCTCCCATGGGTGTTCTTCCCTGTGACAGCAACAGAGCTGTCATCTGCACTGCAGGTTGTTGGGATCCCACACCTTGTGGGACTACATTTGGGATGCTACATGGCTCTAAATTCAGGATGCTGTTACAGGTCAAGGAGTCCTGAAGTCCAGGAAACTCCCTGTGTACAGGGAATGGGCTCTTATATCCTGCTTAGCTCATAGCAGTTACTTGGCTACTGGACTTTGTAGCCCATTTAGTTTTGTGAATGAGGTGACCCCTTTTACTCAGACAAATCCAGTTCAACCCACCCTTGCCTCAGCCCAGCTCCCACAGCAGAGGCTCCTCCTCACCTCCAGCAGCCATGGCTTCAACTTTCTGTCCAGCAAAATATCAAACCCTAGTATCTCAAAGCAGGCACAGCCAGAGGTGTGGTTTAAGAAGCAGCTTTGATAATTGTGCTTCAAGACAGGGTGAGCTGAAATAAGAGTCTTTATGATAATATCTTCAACATCTTCCCAGAGCTTTGTTGTGTTGTAGCTGTTTTCCGTCATCCAGGCATTCAGGGTGGACAGTTTCCTGTGGGGAGGACAGGAGATGGTAAGAGCTGACCTGTGGTACTATGTCTGCCCCAGAGAAGACGGAGGTAAAGCAGTGTCCCAAATGCAGCTTTCCTGCAGGACATGGCAGGGCAGAACCTGGACATGACAATACCTCTTACTGCCCATGGTGTCATGCTGGATGAAGTTCTCGTTACGCTTGTTGATAGCATAATTGGTCAAGTGCATGCAGATATCATCCTGGGAGAGGAACCGCAAGAGACTTTCGTTCACTCTGAACCACAGCATGTCAATAGGGAGAGCCCGGGGGCACCACTTCTCATGCTCTGCTCTGTGTGGTGATGCCCTTCCTGGCAGGAGCCAGAGCCAACAGAGGTCTGCCCCCTCTGCTCCTCTGTGCTTGTCCCTCAGCCCCACAGGCGCCACCGCAGTCGTGGCCCCACTGATGAACAGGGACTCTCGGGGCAGAAGCTGCAGCACGTTTCTGCAGGTTCTTTGTTCCCCCAAGGCAAAAGACTCACTGGGACATGCACGTACTGGGGCGAGGGAGCGTGTACATGTGCAGCTCTGGGACGAGCGGGCAGGCAGCCTGTGACCATGTACAGCAATCCAACACCACAGTCCACCTCCTGCTGGGATTTTATGGGTTACACACCCCTGCTTGGAGATGGGAACGGCCACAGCCTGCACCTTGTTGTCCCACTTCCCCTCCCCTCTCTCCTAGGCTGTTCCAGTACCAGCAGATAATCCACAGGCCCCTGTTTTCCACCCAAAGCCCAGGCAGATGAGGAATGCTGCAAGGCTTGAGGGTGCCCATAAAGGCAAGAGGCAGTAGGAGTGTTGGCCACACACCCTGGGGCCTCTGTTCTTGTGGGTTTTCAACACCTGACTGGGTGAACCCCCAAGAAACCAGAGCTGAATTTATTGTTGACCCAGTTTTGAGCAGGAGGTTTGGATGTGAGACCTCCCAAGGTTCCTTCCAAGCAAAACAACTCCATGATTCTGTGATAATGCCAGTAAACAGCCCAAACGTGGGGCCTGGCAGCAGATCTGCTTCAGTCACCTGAAATACCTCCTGTGAGGAAGAGGAGGTACAGGGTGGGGAGAATAGGGAAGAAGAAAGCTGGGTCCCGTGGAACCCACCAGTCCCTGCCTTTCCAAGGTCTGCAATGCCCCTGGGACACACTGGAGACTAATACTTACAGATGCTGTGTGAGTTCTTTGGAAACTTCCCTTTTTTACCGGTTTGCTGCTGCTGGGATCAATGTACCTCATGGTGGCAAACCGGACCAGCCCCTCGTTGTAGACAAAAACCCTCAGCGGGTCACAGGAGGTGACCAGCACGTAGATGCGCATGTCAAATTTAAAGCCATCAATGAGGAAGGGCTGCGGGAGGAAAGGCGGGAGCCCGGGTGGGATGGAGCGGTGCTGCCAGGCCGGCTGCTCTTCAGCAGCTCGGCAGCAGGAGAAGGGGCAGCGTCAGGTTTCACCGTGCCTCTGCCCCGGGCAGAAACAGGGGTAAGGGAGCGCAGAGGACACAAGGAGGATGCGGGATGCAGGAAGAGTTTAGAAGGCTGCATTTCGAGACTGTCCCATTACCTTAGAGATGTACTGCTGACAGATCATGTGCTCCCCGTGCTTGATGTCCTTGGGGTTGTGGGTGATGAAGATCCCCTTCCCTTGGCAGCCGCTGTCTGGCTTGCAGATGAACGCTCGCTTTTTCCTCATGCATCCGTAGGCCCGGAAGTCTCCGTAGCTGTGCAAGGAAGAGGTGGCTGTAACTGGCTGCAACCACCTGCCTCGGAACTCTGGTGAGGGCTGGGTGCTCAGACTGTGGTGCTGCAGGCTGGTTCAGAGCCAGCTCCCACGGCAGAGGGACAGCACACCTATTCCTGACCCGCACGAGTTGGTCCGTGTGTGACCTGACACAGCTCTCCTGGTTCCACCGCTTACTTGTGCACATCTCCCCCTGTGCCGGGAGGGTCAGAGGAAGCGGTGGCCACTGTGAGAGCAGAAGCCAGGAAGATTTTAGCTCTGCTGACAGAGAGAGAGCCAGAATGCTCTAACCAGAGCTGGGTGCACCCATTGTGTTACAGAGCTTATCTTCAGAGCAGCTCCGGTGAGAGCACGGGGCTTTGAGGGGTCGAGCCCATAGGTCAATTAGCTCTTTTGCTGAAGGTGGAGAAGCGTCATCTCTCTAATGGGCACCACAATTGGGAAAAGAGAGAGATAAACAGGGCAAACCCCCAGACAGTGCCAAGAGCAATCTGAGTCCAGGAAATGCAGCCTGGAAAGATGAGAGAATTCGGTCTGTCTTCTCCAGACATGGGCATACTGAGAGGACACAGCAAGAACCTTCCTGGACACCACACACCGTTAGCACTATGCAGCCAAACACTGGTGTCCAAAGCTGGTATTTCAGCAAAAGTGCTTTAGGTCTGGTACTAAAATTGCTCTGCCCATGAGGAGAGTTCAGCTACAGAGAGGTGACGGGAGCCCCACCTTGGGGCTGCAGGAAATGGTAAGAATAAAACCTGTCTAAGAATGGGAGCTTTGACTCCTCACAGCCACCAGAACTTGAGTGTTCTTTGGTCTCTTTCAGCTGCAGCTCTGTCATTGCTTGCCTATACATGGCCAGAGAAGCCTAGCCTCTGCCCCAAGGCCCAGTGATTTGGTGATGGTTTACATCTACCCGTGTATGTATCAGCATCAGCCCTCTCCCCTGTCCCCACTACTGCAGTGGGTGGTGGAGCTGCAGGAGCTGTGAAGATGGTCATCACCACCAGTGGGGTGGAAGCGCCTCATGCCCTGTCCTGTGCCCTTCCTGGGCTAATTCCAATAGGAATTAAAGATGTGCCAAATGAGAAATGTGTCTCAACACCCCCTTCGGTGCCAGGGGAGGTTATGAATGCCCGGACCAAGACATGAGAGCACAGTGAGGCCCCATCCCAGCCCTGGCTGCACAGCAAAGAGGGAGGTTCCCACCTCCCAGTTCCATGCCCCTGCTCTCAGCTGCACTGTGGTGCATCACTCACTCTGCTGGCAGGCACCAAGTGCGAGGGAATATCTTGTACTCCTTGGGGAAGAGCTTGAGCATGCGGTTGAGGTTCCGAGCCAGCAGGTCCTTACGGCAGATCTCAATCATGCCTGGGAAGTGGTTGATTTTCTGGAATAGGCGCAGACAAAACCCAGGATCAGCACAGGAAGAGCAGGGATCCTCCTGGAGGCTGAGGAAAGCCAGTGTGTGGAGAAACCGGGCACAGCACAGGGAGCTGGGCCTGCGGGTGCCTTGACCTGCTGCTGGGGGAGAAGTTTATGCTGCAACCGCTTTATCTGAGCTTCACCAGTGTGATTTATCTGCTCCCTTCATCTCATCCCTGAAGCTCTCCCGCCCTCGAACATCACAGCTTCAGGAAGGAGCCGTTTGTCATCATAACCATTTATTTCATGCTACATTAAAGGGACTGGCAGCTTTCCAGTTCACACCACTAACTGCCAGAGCACTGCTGATAGCACCGTACCAGAGGCACAACGGCAGTAAAGGCTTGTGAACCTCTGGTGTAGAGAAGGGGGCCCAGTCGCTGGTGTGGGCACTGTTCCTTTAACAGCCCCCATCTCACCCTCCTTCCTAGGCAATTCCTGCCTTTCCCCGGGGGCAGTTACCTGAAAGCGCTTCATTTCCATGACACGCTCCAAGGAGACTGAGTTGTCCGTCCAATACACTGTCCACTCCTCATTTTCTCCCACCTCTCTCAGCCCGCAGCACCGCGCTGCCCGCCGCACTGTACCAAAGCAAGCAGGTGACAAGGGCCGGGCAGAGGATCTAAGTACCAGGGTCTGTTAAATCCTCACGGGAACCAGGGCTGGAGCGTGGAAACTATCTCTGCAGCTGCAGTTCCCCTCTGAGATGCAGGGCACCAGGAGGACCCTCGGGAGGTGTCCAGAACACAAGTGTTACCTGCCTAAAGCCAGCCCAGCCCCTGCCTGGGGGTGCACTGGGAGCCATCAGCCACCTAAGCCCATGTGCTTGGGGGCCCTCCTGAACTACAGCAGGCTTGAATCCACTGTGGGTCTGACACCACACGGGCAGACACGAGCCTTCTGAAGGTATAAGTTTGGTCTTCAAAATCAAAAGCAAACCAGCAGCACAATGCACAAGCCCTGCAGCAGGAGGTCTGTGTTAGCACTAGTTCTGAACCGGGCCTCTCGCGGGGCTGGGGAGTTGATGAAGTTCACTGTACACCAGGAACCGTTGTGAAATGGTTCTGGTTCCTGCCAATCACCTCCTGCTGCGGGTCCCATCTGCTTCCTGCTACCAAACCGCCCCAGCACAGCCTTGGGTGAAACATGTAGCACTCGTCCCGCTGCCTAAAAACCCGTGTTCCTCGTGCTGTGACCTTCAACAAAGTGGTCACACAGCGAGAAGAGTCATTAGCAAACCTTTGCCTAATAACAGGCTCCTGGCATTTGATGGATGTTAAGATAGAGCTTGTGGCAGTGAAGAGGAGCAGGGCAGCAGGGGCCTAGCTCCTTGGAGCATGTCACTGGAAACAGACAGCACAGGGAGAAACTCCAGGAACCGATCCTGCCTGTTCCGTCACTGGCTTTATGTTTAACAGGTACTGGTCTTGCATTGTAACTGCCCCTAACTAAACCCTTGTCACTGGAATAATCTCCCCAGGGAAGTGATGACTCCCCAGTGTCGGACGCTGTTAAGATTGGGCTGGACAGAATGCTGAGAGATCCAATCTGGGTCATGCTGTGCCTTGAAAGCTTGGACCAGATGGTCCTTCAGCTCCCTTCAACCCGTAATTCTGGGATTCCATGATTCCTTGTCACCAATTTTAGCAGATTTATGGCAAAAGCAGCCAGGGCACCTCAGCCCAGGGGGTGCAACACCCCACACCTCGCACGGGTCCATGTCACTTGCAACCGATGAATATATAAACCAAAGTGAGCGTGGGGTGGGGATTTGGCCCCAGCCATTCTCCCTCGCTGTTGGTGGCACCCAAGGGACGTCCTGCAGTGCCCCGGACTTACCGCTCTCGTACTTGCAGGTGGTCAGGTTGATGGATGGAACGCTGCAATTGAGAGACCACAGAAAAGCTGCTCAGTGAGGAATCGCGGCCCCGTCCCGGGCACCGGCCAGAGGGACGTTCACACATCACACACACCCAGAGCCCGGGCTAACGGCCGCGGGGCTAACGGGAAACGTGACCCGGAGCCAACACAGCAAAGACGGTCCCCACCACGGGACCATCCTCGGGCGCGGCAGGGTCGGGATTACGGGGCGTTTTCAGGGGCAGAGCGTTTATTGCGGTTCGGAAGATCCCTGGAGGCGGCCCCGGGGGATACGCGGGGCGGGCGGGG